GCTGAAAAAACAGCCTTCATGACTCCCGAGGGCATCTTCTGCTACCTTGTCATGGCCTTCGGCCTAAAGAACTCAGGCGCCACCTACACTCGGATGGTGGCCAGGGTATTCCAAGCCGTCCTAGGGCGCACCATGGAGGCATATATTGACGATATGATCGTCAAAAGCAAGCAGTCAGCAAGCCATGCTGACGACCTTAGGGAGATCTTCACCATCATGCAGAAGTTTAGCCTTCGGCTGAACCCGAAGAAGTGTACCTTCGGAGTCCAGGGGGGAAAATTCCTGGGCTACATGGTTAGCCGAAGGGGTATTGAGGCCAACCCCGAGAAAATCCAGGCCATCATCAACATGGAGCCCCCACGCAACGTGAAGGAGGTCCAACGGTTGACGCGCCGCCTGGCAGCCCTCAACCGCTTCTTATCAAAATCGGCGGAGAAGTCCTTACCCTTCTTCCAGATCATGAGGAAAACCGCCGGTTTCCAGTGGACTTTAGAATGTCAGGGGGCGTTCGAGGAGCTGAAACGGTACTTATCTTCACCCCCTGTGCTCTGTAAACCCAAGGTAGGGGAGATCATGTACCTCTACTTGGGTGTTAGCCCGGCTGCCATCAGCTCAGTACTCATCCAGGAAGAGGATGACATCTAGCATGCCATCTTCTATGTTAGCAAGACCCTCAGGGAGGCGGAACTCCGGTACTCCCCCGTGGAAAAGACGGTGTTGGCTATCGTGTGGACCGTCAAGAAGTTGGGCCATTACTTCCAAGCTCACCCGGTCCAGGTCCTCACTCACCAACCCCTCGGCGCCTTGATGAGGAGCCCCACTAGCTCCTCCCGAATGGTAAAATGGGCTGTCTTCTTGAGCCAATACAACATCGACATCCGTCCTAGGCCTGCCATCAAGGGCCAAGCCCTAGCGGACTTCGTGACGGAGTGTACGGCAAGTGCAGCCACGGACGAGGAGCCCTCGGCCCCTTCGGATGATTGGTGGACCCTCTACACCGACGGCTCCTCCGCCATCAAGGCATGTGGAGGAGGGGTGGTTCTCATCTCACCCGAGGGCTTCCGGGCCTATTATGCGGTCCGTTTCTCCTTCAAAGTCTCCAACAATGAAGCCGAATACGAAGCCCTCCTCTGTGGCCTTCGGCTGGCAGCTAACATGAAGGCCTGACAAATCCACGTCAAGTGCGACTCCAAGTTAGTCGTCGGCCAAATCTCCGGGGAGTACGAAGCCAAGGAAGGGAGAATGAAGCAATACAAGGAGGCGGCCAAGGAATTGCTTAAGGTATTTGAGGCACACTCTCTTACTCAAATACCCAGGGCTCAAAACTCCGAGGCCGACATTTTATCAAAGCTCTCGGCAGAATCCCCTGAGCATATCTCCAAGATTGCCAAAGTGGAAGAACTCAGCCTCTCCAGCATACATGCTAGCCAGCCCCGTCATGAACATACAACAAAGACAGGAGGACTGGATCTCAGACATTGTTGCCTTCATCACCACAGGGCAACTGCCCGAGGATGAGGCCCGCGCCAAACTGGCAAAGCTGAGGGCTCCCAGCTACACTATCGAGGACGGGAGGCTTTACAAAAGGTCCTACAACGGGACGTTGCTGCGGTGCCTTCATCAAGATGAAACCGAAGTAGCAATGGAGGAAGTACACAGTGGCACTTGCTCAGCTCACCAGGGACCCTTCTCCATGTCCCGAAGGCTAGTAATCCAGGGCTACTTCTGGCCTATGATGGCCCGGGATTGTGCAAACCTTGCCCGAAGGTGTCCCGCATGCCAACACATCCAGAAAGCCCCCGGCATGCCAGCGGTCAACTATGCCCCCATCAGCACATCCATACCCTTCGCTCGATGGGGCATAGACCTTGTGGGCCCTCTGCCGAGGGGTACCTCCAACAACAGGTACATCATTGTCGCCATCAATTACTTCACCAAATGGGTGGAAGCGGAGCCCCTCGCCAGCATCACTGAGGCCAGGTGCCGTCACATTGTTCTCAAAAACATCCTCACCAGGTTTGGCGTCCCCCAGCAGATCATCTCCGACAACGGGACTCAATTCGAGGCAGCCCCCTTTTGTGCCCTCCTAGAGGCATGGGGCATCAAACACACCTTCTCATCCGTTGCTTACACTCAGGGCAACGGTCAAGTGGAGAACGCCAACAGGTTTTTGCTCGAGGGCCTAAAAAAGAAGTTGGAGGCCGAAGGGGGTGGTTGGGTAGAAGAGCTCCACAACATCTTATGGGCCTACCGTACCACCCCTCGGCGGGCGACTGGCGAGACACCCTTCTCCCTTTGTTACGGATTTGAGGCCAAAGCCCCCACTGAGGTAACTCTCCCAACCCGAAGGGTCACACAGTATGATCCAGAGGCCAACGACGCCAATATAACTCTCCCAACACGAGAAATGCCCAGGATTCGACTTCCAAACCGAAACGCTCCCCGCGCCACCACCCCAAGGGTGTGGCAGGCCACGGACTATGTCTAGCGCCGAGGGGACGACTTTCAAAACTGAGGCACTTTCCGCGCCATCCCCCAAGGGGAGGCAGGCTACAGACCACCATATCTTGTGCCCAGGAAACGACCCTCGATCCCCTCGGAACTCGGAAGGTTAACCCGAAGGGGAGCTAATGGTGTATTCTGTTACCTCCCGATAGGCCAAGCCTTACCAAGAAACCAAGTTTCTTGAAGCCTTCCCTTCACTACTCAAAAAAAAGGGTGGTGAAGGGGAGTAGACTCGGCGAGAAATCAATGAGTACATCACTCCAACAATTCACAGAAACATACCGAGGGCTCCCCACGGGAACACCTTCGGTACCTGAAAGCTCACAGGTACAAAGGATACCATTCACAACAGGCATCATCAACAAATGGCTAAGTCCACTCAAGGATTGCCTCCGGCTATACCTAAAACCGAAGGCTCAAATACTACAAAACATGACAGGCTCAGCCAACAACAACTCAAAGCGTCCCCGAAGGGTACTATATGACAAGGCTATTGGATGTGGCCAAACCAAATCAAGAATCACCCTCGGCACCTCACTACATGTCGAGGGCTTACCATAGGCCAACATTGCAAGGCAAAGGAAACTATCCTAAACCTACAACGTATACAGCCGAAGGGTCCCCCCGAAGGCCAGCAGCAGGAAATACTTAAAAAATAATCTAAGTCCTAAATGCTTTGCCCCCTGTGGAGCCACCAGTCAACCAAAGGCATATCTGAGACAAGGGCCTCACAGTCACCCGAGGGCTCCTACTTCATACATACTACATTTAGAAAAATTTTCTAAGTCCTACATATTTTGACCCTCGGTCAAATCTCCATGCTACCCGAGGGGCCATACGGTTGAAGGCTTGGTGAAGCTATACTTAGAAAAAATTTCTAAGTCCTACATATTTTGACCCTCGGTCAAATCTCCATGCTGCCCGAGGGATCCTACTTCATACATGCCACACAGCAAAATTTCTAAGCCCTAAAGGTTTTTACCCTCGGTCAAATCTCCATACAGCCCGAGGGCCATACGGATGAGGACTTGGCAAAAGTATACTTAGGAAAAATATTCTAAGTCCTAACTATTTCTGGGCCCTCGGTCATGCATCCAATCAGCGAGGGGTATCCACATACCGAAGGCTACACAATATCCAAACACTTAGAGATTTTCCAAGTCCTAAACAGCTCGCCTCTGGTTATCTCATGAAAGCTACACAGAACCAGGGGGAAGGAATTAGCCGGGGGCCAACAGATGTACAAACACTTAGAAATATTTCTAAGTCCTGAACATTGCGCCCTCGGTGAAAGGTTCAACTGACTAAAGATTACTAGTAGTCGAGGGCTACGAGAAGCACTACACTTGGGAGAATATATTCTAAGAAGCTGTTCTCTTCGTCTTAATCTTATTACTTATTCCTTATTCTTATTTTATTCAGATCAGATCAGATCAGATCAGAAAGATTCAGATCAGATCAGATCAGATCAGAAAGATTCAGATCAGATCAGATCAGATCAGAAGCATTCAGATCAGATCAGAAACATTCAGATCAGATCAGAAGCATTCAGATCAGATCAGATTAGTTCAGAAATTATTATTACTGTTATTATTACTATTATATAATATTATATATTACTGTTATGTTTTACGGAGTAATTTTTAGTATTGATTTTTCAATAAATGCTAAAATTGAGTACTCTGTACCAATCCATCTAATCTAAATATATAATACTGTCACCATTTGATCGAAAAGAATGAATTGAAGTACAAACATTTATTCAATATCAACTTGCGATTATGGTATCAACTTTCGCACTAAACAACTTTATCCGTCTTTACGAGTTGGATATTCCAATTTCAAGTGCAATCAAATATTTTTATTATTATTAAAAAGGTTATTAATATCACTACTTATTATTATTATTATTATTATTATTATTATTACTACTACTACTACTACTACTACTACTACTATTGTTATTATTATAATTATTATTATTGTTACGGAGTATTATTTTTATTATACTTATTAAATAATAATAATAGTTATTATTACTATTATAATTACTATTGATGTTATTATTATTATTGTTATTGTTATTGTTATTATTCTTATTATTATATACCAATTTAGAAAGCTAAGATCAGATCAGAAGGATTCAGATCAGATCAGAAACATTCAGATCAGATCAGAAACATTCAGATCAGATCAGAAACATTCAGATCAGACCAGACAGATTCAGATCAGATCAGAAACATTCAGATCAGATCAGACAGATTCAGATCAGATCAGATCAGATCAGAAAGATTCAGATCAGATCATATCAGATCAGAAAGATTCAGATCAGATCAGATCAGAACTTAAAAAATTCAGATCAGAAACATTCAGATCAGGTGAAGAGAACAGCTTCTAAGTCCTAAACATACATTCAGAAAAGCGAAGGCCTACATTCAGAGTAGGGCTAAAGCATACATCCAGAAAAGTCGAAGGCATACATTCAAAGAAAAACATTCAAGGGAAACACATTATATACCAAAAGCCCGAAGGCATGTACTCATTCATCAAGGCAAAGAAATTCAAATGTACATTACAGAGGGCCGAAGGCCGAGGGCATACAACCACTCATTACAGCCAGATTGTTCAAAACATGTTGAATAAAAAACTACATATTAACATCCCCGGGGGCCGTCTCCTCCGAGGGCTTTGAAGTAACCTCTGTATCGGCCTCAGGTTCGTCACCCTCGGCCTCCTTCATCAGCTCGGTGTCCTCCAAGTCTGGCCTCTCGACATTGGAGGGGAGAGGAACACGGACATCTGGCTGCAGGGGGGAAGTCCGTACGCTGTCGGGTCAAAATCCTTTTGCTCAATCTTCAGGTGGCGGGCCATCCTCCGGTAGATAAGGGCTTGAGTGAAAAACTCGCCCCCATCATAGTACTGTTTACCCTTTCGGGAAACCCACTCCACACCGGGCCCATCGCACCACTCGTCGACCGAGGACTCGACAACCGAGGACAGCCATTGCTTGTGCTCCTCTGCCCGCCACCCCCCTGCCAAGAAACCAGAGATGGCGTCCCCTCGGGCTTTCTCGACGACCTCCGCCTTGGCGGCCTCGGCCTCCCTAGCAGCTCTCTCAAGGGCCTCAGTTGCGGACCTCTCATCCTCGGCCTTGCCCCGGTCTGCGGCCTCCGCCCGCAGGGTCATCTGCCGAAGGCTCTTCTCCAGCATAGCCATCCGCCGGATGGCATCAGAATTCTGGCGGATGAGCTCCCGCATCTTGGCATCCTGCTCGGCCTTGCGAAAACGCCACTCCTCTAGCCTCCGGGCCTGCTCTCCGAGGGCAATGCAGGTCTACAAAAAATAAAGAAGTTAGGAAGGCCGTACATTATTTCCTAGCATAAAGGAAAAACGGTAAACTGTCAAAAACTTACCGTGAGGGAAGACCGGAGGATCTTGTCCTCAAGGGCTTGGTCATCATCAGCCCCGAGGGCTGCTCTGTCAATCTCAGGGGTCATACCCCTCAGAAGCACCCTCGGGTCAGCCGTGCAATTCATCACGGTCGTTCCTACCGGGAGGGAAACCGTCAGGACCTCAGAAGATGGCTCGCGGACACCCCCCGGCACCTCTGCCACCGTCATCTCCTCATCATGCGTCCCGGAGGCGGGACAATCGTCAACAATAACCACGGGGGGACCTTTCTTCCCGACATCCCCCGTCTTCGGCCTTTTGCCCTCGGGAGCCTTGCCCCCAACTTTTCTCTTGGCAGCAGCAGCAGCATCAGTATTTGGGGCCGCCGACGGCCCCCCTGGCTTCTTAAAGAAGTCACCGGCGGGCTTAGGGACGCCAGCATCTGTCCCCTTCGGCACCTTGGAAGATTTCTTCTTCTTGAGGTCAGCAAGTCCTCGGACGTTCATCATATTGACCGAGATACCTGCAAAACAATATGGGGTTAAAACCGAGGGGTCACTAAGAGATGGCACAGGAAAAAAAAACAAACAACAAACAAACTATGTGCTAAAATACGAAAATGAGGGTGCCCTCAGCCACTACCTCCGGAGGCTCCCTCCAATGCCGGGAACTTTTCATCTGTTTCCCCCAGGAAGCGATACCGCCGGAACCTGAGGGTGTAGAGGTCCTCCTCTTGGGTGCACTCCTTGATGGTTATGTTTTTGTCCCGGCCCTCCGGGATCTTTGCCAGGATCCTGCCATCTTTCTCGAGGGCGGCGCTCCTCCTCTTCTCATGCCTCCTAAACCGGTCACGCAATTCCCTCGGAAAGGGGCTCTCGGACAACTTAACGTAACACCACCGGTCTTTCCACCCTTTGTTCGAGGAGGGCGCCTCAGTAAAAAGCTTGAACAATGCCACTTGCTGCAAGTTTGCGAAGCCCTCGGCATTCGCATGTCCCCCCGGCACAGGTTGAAACTTTGGAAGAACAGATCCAGGCTAGGTGTTACCCCCCGGGATTTCCAGAGCTGGAGGAAGCCCGTGATGTAGGAATGGCTGTTCGGGGTCAGTTGGCAGGGGACCAAACCCACGAACCGGAGGTACTCCCGGAGGAAGGGGTGTAGGGGGAACCGGAGCCCCATCGACACGGAGAGGCTGTGCACCGCAATGCAGCCCTCGGGAGCCCGGGAGAGGACGTCATCGGGACCCGGTGCCACCACGATGCCCGAGGGGCCCACGTGTAATTGAGTGACATAGAGATCCGCCGCATCCGCTTTTGACCTTATCTCTAAGGCGGCGATATTCAAGTAGGAATACCCCTCAGGCATATCGAGGGGCTTCCCTTGGTCTGCAACGCTGCCCTTCTTCTCGGGGGCAGCAACCTTCGCCTTCTTTTTTCCGGGGGCCACCCGGATGGGAACCGCGTTCAGCGGCCGAGAGGTGCTGGCCTCGCCAGTGCCCCGAGGGGGGAGAACAGCAACAGTGACCCTCACGCCCTCTTTCTGCGCCTCTTCCTCAACTACTTGCCAGGCGAGGGCCAGCTCTTCGTCTTCACACTCTTGTTCGAAGCCCTCGGCTTCCGCCTCAGCAACAAGGGCTTTCTGCAACTCCATGGCGACGACAGCGTCTTGTCCTGCTGAGGGTTGTTCGCTTGTGGACTCCACGTCCGAGATGACTTCATCCTCCATCGAGGGCGCCCCCGAGATGTCCTGGGAATCACTTTGGGAAGACATCTTTGCACTAGTTCGAGGGCTCGGAAACACTAGAGTTTTCTTAAGTTCTAACTCCTAGCCTAAAGGCACAGTGCACAGCTAACTAGGAGGAGAAGAGCAGGGGGGAACTAACCTTAAAAGCTGGGAATACACCGAAGGCTGGATTTTCTCTCTCTAGAAAATTGGGCAGAGCTTCGCTACAATGATATCGCACAAGGGGAGGGGAAGCCGGCCATGGGGTATTTATAGGCGCTGGGATCCGGGCTTGGGCCTGGAAACCGGGCCTCCGGTTGGACTGCCATCATTACAAACCGTGGTTTCGCCCAATCGGTGACGCCCGCCCACGGACAGCCAACGAGCACACACCACGTGGCAACCCCCCCCCCCCCTCCCCCCCCAACGGCTATATTCTGACGTTAGAAATTCCAACAGCTATATTTCCAACGGCTATATTCTGGGAGCTCCCGGCTACACTTGACTGACCACTCTTCCATCAACCAATAAACTAGCCCCCGGGCTTTTTTACTTCACTCCACTACACTTACCCGGAGACACTCCCGGTTTGTGCCCCACACACTACATAACAGATGCCTTCGGGATCACTCCTTCAGAAGCCCAAGGCTTCATATCAGGCCACCCCCTCGGGGATCCCCCCTCAGCACTTTGAGGGCCGGGTAGCCCCCGGGGAGTATGCCTCATTGACGGATAGCCTACGGCACACAGGTAACGGGAGCCCTCGGATACCCTCCTCACCAACTAATCAACAAACAGGGGACACCCCAGTAACACTTCAACTGCTACTCACATTCATGACGCCCTCGATCCCCAGATTGAGGGACTCCCCTTCGGCACCTTCCACGAAATCAACAGCACGCCTCCGGCTAATCAACACATGAGCCCTCAGAACAAGGAAAGCCTTCGGCATCAGCATTATTCTCCATTTCGAACCAAGGTTTCACATTTTCGATTCATCGTTGGGGGAATTCGGTGCACTCTTTTTCCCTCATTAGGATTTTTTCCCACAGGGTTTTTTCCTAATGAGGTTTTTAACGAGGCATCCCCCCAAAATGAAACGAAAAGCGTCAGCATTCGGCCCAAAACAGCAACGCAACTACTCTACTCCTTTTCACCACTTTGCAAGTGCCTCAAGGAGTGGGGGACTGGAGGACCCCCTCGGGAAAAATCACAAAAATCACAAACATGACCCCTCAAGTCCCGACATGTGGGTAACTGAGGGACTGCCCTCAACAGAATAAACAAACAGCAAACTACCCATAACTCTACAAACTACGACGGAACAACAGCAGAGGACAAACACAATTACTCCTTTTCCCTCAAGTATCTTTCGGCAAAAGGAGTGAGGGACTCCTGATAGAGTATATGGCCCGGGAACCCCCGGCCCACAGACTCCTACTACTCCAATAAAGGCCCAATAGGCCCAGGAAGCACAACAGGCCCAAATCACGGCGCCCAAGACACCAAGCAGCCCACAATGCGCACCAGGGGTGCCTTCGGCCCCCTGGCCGAAGGCTCTAACTCTCACAGGAGGGCCAAGACAGGAAAAACAAAGTTACTGGGAAAAACGGCGAAAAGCAGTAGCCCTCGGCAACTGGAGCCCTCGGCACTAAGGGGGTCCCCGGTACTCAGAGCCCTCGGCTAGTCATCTACAGCCGAGGGCACCTTTCCCGACATAATATCCGCTCCACATGCGTATGGATCACCGTACCCTGTACAACGTCCCATCCAACAGCCGCATTAAATGCGGCCACATGCAGTTGCCAGTGCCAACCGGTTGAGGTGACCTCTCGGCCAATGGACGCTTGACACGTGTCTCTATCCGGCATTTATTGCTACTATAAATAGCACCTCATTTCCCCATTTGTAACCAAGCCACAAGTCACAAGTCACAACACGTTGAATACTTGCTAATATACTTTCTCTCTCTACTTACTTGCTCTGACTTCTCTCTAGTTATTCCCCGTAATAACCCTCGGATAAGCTACCTCCTGGGTACACGATCCATCATTAGGTAGTCCAAAATATGAGAATAAATAGCAAAGTTAAAAGCTTAAAAGTAAGTGTCAACCTGATAAAGACCTTGTTTGGTAAATGGTTGTTAGCTGTTGCTGGTAGCTGGTTGTGTCAGCTGTTTCGAAACAGCTGGTTGTGTTAGCTGTTTTGACCGACTGGTTATGTTGGCTGATTATAAATAACTGTTTGGTAAAATTGGCTCTTTCGAAATGACTGATAGAGTGTAAATTGAACCAGCCAAATGAAGAAGCTGCTCCCCTTAACTTCTTCCACAATCCATTTTTTCAGCTTTTCAAACTCAAAAAGCTAATTTTAAAAGCCATTTACCAAACATTATTATTAGCTTATTTGACTAATCAAACAGTTGAAATGGGTCAAACAAGCTAAAAGCTGGCTGATAAGCCATTTGCCAAACATACCCAAAGTGAGTGCCATCTTCATAAATCTAAAATGGCTTTATTTGCCAAAAAGGTAAAAAACATGGCTTTATAAAAACCGGTATTCCATAAAAAGCCATTTTCAGTTGTAATTGATTAATTCTTAACTTTAAAATAAAGTAAATCAAAATTAATATATATATAAAATCGAATCAAGGTTTATTTTCAATCACCGGTCATTCAAGTTCAAAAGAAGAAAAAACAGAGGCCGGACAAGGATGAGGCAGGAGAAGAAGAAAAAAGAGGGGAAGAGGAAGAAAGAGGAAGAGAAGGGGGAAGAAAAGAATACAAACCTTTCATATTCAACAGGACTACAAGAGTTCACCGGATTGCCGGAAGAGAAAAAATTGGTCGGAGATGAGAGAGGAATCATTGTCGGACTCTCTGGAATTTGCTAGAGAGATGCAGGAAAAATTAATTTGAATCTATGAATTTCTTATGAGGAAGGTTGGTGGGAGACGAAAGAGAAAGAGAAGTTTGGAAATATGAGGTCATAGGGAGATGTGGGGGATGTGAGAGAGAAAAATGAGTGGAGGAGGGTGGACTGTCATAAGGGTGGGCTGGCACTCTGGCAGATGAGACGTGATGGGGGTAGGGAAAAGAAAAAGGAAAGAGAGTGGAGAAAAAAAAGGAGTGGTGTGCTGCAAAAAAACGAGAACGGTATAAAATATCAGTAGGGTTAAGATAGGAATAAAATTAAAAAAAGGTCTTATTTTGGGAAGAAAAAAACATATGATCCTATACTTGTATTAATTTTATCTTTTAGTCCTATTTAGATCAATTACTTTTTTGGAATTACCTTTCGTGGCATCATGTCAAGAGAATAAAAACACGTACGGAGCAGTGCTTATACCGTGGAATCGGTGCATGGTGAGCACCATGCCCCTTTTGTTATTTTTATTTCTCCTTTTCTTAAAATTGTTAATAATTTTTTTATTTTTTATCCGATTTTTATAAAATTTATATCAAAATTTTTTAGTTTTCATGATCTTTCAAATGAGACCAATATTGCCTATTTAATTTTAATTTTTCACATTCATACATTTTTTTGTAATATATTTTTATATGCATACACTTTTTCTATAATATTTTTTTATCACTTTTATTTGTTTTTAGAGGTTTTTAAGATATTGAGTTTGTTTATTTTGTTTCTAGCTTGGAGTTACATTTGATAATATACGAAGTTACATCATCTTATACTCCAGTTACAAGTTATTATATGTGAGTTACATCTTGTTATGTGTGAGTTACATTTTGTTATACATAAGTTACATACTTTTATGCGCGAGTTACATGTAATTATGTGTGAGTTACATCTTGTTATGTGTGAGTTACATCTTGTTATACACGAGTTACATACTTTTATGCGCGAGTTACATGTAATTATGTGTGAGTTATATCTAATTATTTGTGATTTTTTACTTATCTTTATCTTGAACTAATTTAATTATAACTGAATTAATTTTTTTCTTTGCCAATTTAATACAAAATTTTATTAATCCACATAAAATAAGTATATCGTATTTCATATTCATACACTATTTTTCAAATGATAAAAATGAAAGATGTAGCAGAGGTTTATTTCATGGTGTAACTCACATACATTAAGATGTAACTCGCGTATATTAAGATGTAACTCGCGTACAATAAGATGTAACTCGCGCAGAATAAGATGTAATTTCATGATATATTATCAAATGTAACTTCAAAATAATTTGTTAAAATTATATAAGCAATATTGGTCTCATTTGATAGATCATGAAAAAAAAAATTGATATAAAATTTATAAAAATCGGATATCAAATAAAAAAGTTATTACAATTTTTAACAATAAAAAAATAAAAAATAATGGATGCTGCGTCGTTTTGGGATCGGTCACACCATCCTCATGCTGCGCCGATCCCAGGATATAAATTGCCCGTACGGAATACTATTTTATTCCTTTTTACGAGTTATTATATTTTCTTTTCACTTTTTATGAGTTATTCCCTATTTTCTTTCATCATCAATGACTTTTTACGCTCAGTGTTGGCTTGTTCCAAATGCAACCCATATGATTTTTATCCTCACTAAATAAATTATAGCCACACTTCCATTATCTTAAACAATAAGCCAAAACAACTGCAATGAGTTACGGAGTATATGGGTACATAATCGGTATTTAAACTTTTCTTCTTTATTATGCAATTTTTTTGTTCAAGTATTTATGGAATATGCTTAATATATTTGCTCTATCAAGACTTGCCACGTTTGAATTGATAAATAATGAAAAGAATAACCTTAGAAATACTTTTTGTATCTAGTATTTGAAGACTACTAGTCCTTAATTAACTTTACACTTTCCTTGTTGGGTCATTCCATATTAAACTTTACACTTCGGAATATGTTAACATCTTCACCATGGAATATATGCTTAATATATTTGCTCTTTCTTGACTTGCCACGTTCGAATTGATAAACAATGAAAAGAATAACCGTAGAAATACTTTTTGTATCTAGTATTTGAAGACTACTATAATTTGTAGTCCACAACAAATATTTGTGTGGATGAATTTGTTGAAGACAACTTTTTGAATTTTCTTTAGCCAATATACTTCTGTTTTTCGTGTGTTTCAATATTTAGTTGTTTCAACTATAACTTTAGTAATTTAAGTAAAATCACCGAATTAAGCTAACTTAAATCAATCAAATCGGTGAAAGATATATAACAACTTTCATAATTTCAGCAAATTCAATAATTCCATCTAATTTTTGTTTAATTTGTTACCACCATGTTAACACTACAAAACAAATCGCTTGTAGTCACAGACCGTAGTCACGGATTTAGTCCGTGACTAGTTAGTTACGGTTCTAATCACGGTCCAGTCACGGATCGTTTAAAAAAAATAGTCACGGATTTGTCCGTGACTACGTCCGTGACTATGTTTAGTCACGGATGTAGTGCGTGACTAACGTGTTCCGGCCAACCCAATTTCGCCTCCGGCGGGATTTATTTTAAATTTGAAATTAGTCACGGACGGTTCCGTGACTAAAGTTAGTCACGGACGTATCTGTGACTAATTCCGTGACAAGTGCAAAATTAATTTTTTCAACGTTCCAAATTTAAAGTGCTCCGACAAATCGTACAAAAATATATAGTCACGGACACATCCGTGATTACGTCCGTGACTACAAGTTTTATATATGCAGCCTCCGCTTCATTCAACAAAATCACATCATCTACTCCACATAGAATTCCAGATAGAATTGAAGGATATAATCTACACATCTCATATCATTTTTCCTGTTTATGTAGATAAGGTATGTAATTTGAATTACGTATTTTTTGTATGAATTAGTTGGTTCATTTTAGCTACATTTGTTAAATTAATTAGCTACATTAGTTAATTAAACTTTTGTTAATATTATTAGTTAAATTTAAATTATATGCATTTAAATGCATTAAGTAATTAAATTAAATACTTAAATAATTAACAAAATAAATTCCTTAAATTTAGTTACGTTAAATGTAGGTGTAATTTAAACATAGGGTTAATTAAGTTGTATTTAATTAAAATTACGTAAATTAGTTAAATACATGTAGATGATATTATTAATATTAGTTAAATGTAAGTATTATTTAATTCAAATGACTTTATATATGATTAAATATAAGTATAGGATTTCTTTATTAGCAATTATTGTTAAGGCGGCCTAATTTAGGATTAATAATGATTTAAATTAGGGTTAGTTAATTGAAACATTACTTAAGTATGATGATTTATGATTGTGAATTACGTAAATTAGTAAAAAAAATTATAATATTATTTAAATTTAAGTATTATTTAATTTAAATGAGTTTATTATATATATATGCTCAAATTATTGGATTTGCTCATATTATTTAATTTAGTAAATTGTTAAATGTGCATTATTAATAAGATTAAGATGTTGATAATTTTAGTATTGTGGATTAAATGCCATTAACGTATTGTGCATGTTTATAGTTTAATAATATTAATTATTGGACGTTAGTTAATTTTAAGGGAATTTCAGTGAATTTTAGTGAAATTTAAGGGAATTAGTTAATTTTAAGGGAATTAGTTAATTTTAGTATTGTGGATTAAATGCCATTAACGTATTGTGCATGTTTATAGTTTAATAATATTAATTATTGGACGTTAGTTAATTTTAAGTGAATTTTAGTGAATTTTAGTGAACCAAGGCCCGGCCGGGCCCGAATCGGAACCGGTCCACCCCTACATAGTTACGGACAAAATCCGTGACTAACATAGTTAGTCACGGATTTTTTACACTGTGGTCTGTGACTAAGTCCATGACTACAGGCGATTTTTTTTGTAGTGTATTAATGCTTTGACGGCAGGGGCGGAGCTAGAGTGGGGCAATCTAGGCCTTGGCCCACCCCAAATTTAAAAAATGTCATAATATTTAAGGTAAAAGCTTCATACTCCGTATAATTTTTTTTTCAAAATTATTTTTTGTACGAGTACAATCCGACACAGTGCTCTGACTCTGCCCGTGTTTCCCGGAGTTAATATTAAGCTCTGAAGAGTCCCCATAAGAAATGGTTCTCGAACTAGTAACACGTCTCCACTAATATTTGAGATGAAACAAAATATTTCTCCACCAACACCGTAAGGTTATAACTAACTCAAACAAAACACTACTCCTTGTTGAACTAAAACATCCAAATGTTACCACAAAACTTTGTTATATCCTACAAAACACTACCAATTCTTTTTGTCTAATTTTCTAGATGTTTTTATGACTTCTGTTGAAGATATTGAGTAATAAATACTATTAGTTCTGCTTCATATAAAGGTTCTCGTCCGCTATTCTAAGGCTAACATAAAAACTTCTTAGAGCATCTTCAATATTACAATGTGACGGTGCACATGTGGCATGAGAAATAGTCACATAAATATTAGCAAACAAATTATCCATCTAGACGGTCTTCTTGACATTATTTAAATGATTTTATACAATTTTGGTAAATTTTTCTCTGCGATATCAACCACAATTTTAACATCTAGACGGTCTTCTTGACATTGTGGTGAAAAACTTACCAAAATTTTATAAAATCATGCAAATAAAAACATATAGTCTTGTACTTTATATATCCAACTTTGATCAAATTTGAGTTTTTTTTGCTATTTTATAAATATTTAATTTAATTTCTGATAAGTAAATTTTATTTACAAAAAAATTCAATTACAAACAAGAATAAGTTAACTTTACGGTCAATCCAACACCGTAAACCGCATGAAAACCTTCATACAGTATGTATGTGGTTAAATCTAGGGAAAACTATCAAATAAGCCCTTGTACTATACCAAAAAAGTCGATTAGACCCTCGTACTTTGCAAACACTCAATTAAGTCCTCGAACTATTAAAAAACGTTCAATTAAGCCCTTTCGGTCGGTAAGTAACCGGTTTCCCGGTTAAATGTAATCTGTTTCCCAGAATCCACCGTTGCTGGGGTTCGAGCACATCGTCGCCATCGTCGTCGTTTAACTGGGAAATCGGTTACTTACCCACCAAAAGGGCTTAATTGAACATTTTGTAATAGTTCAAGGACTTAATTGATTGTTTGTAAAGTACGGAGGCCTAATCGACTTTTTCGGTATAGTACGGGGGCTTATTTGATAGTTTTCCCTTAAATCTATCTCAATTGAGAGAGGAAATAAAAGAGTAATACTCTCTTTGTCGCACTAAGATTGTGCATTTTACCTTTTTGTCCGTTCTACTGAGATTGTATCATACCACATTTGATAGAGTTTGTGTAACTCTAAATCATTCTTACTTTATTCTTAGTTTTTCAATTTCATATCAATCCATTTTTATTGATTTGTCTCACACTCCTCTTGTTCTATTGTTGGTGGGAGAAGTAAAGAAAAACATGATTGAACAGGGACCGGCTCAGACTCAAAGCTATACTAAAATCTTCAAAAAAAATCTACAACTTTATTCAATTCTGGTATCATAAATCAGAGAGACAAAATGTTGCAAAAACCTTGGAAGGTTACACCACCACCACCATTACTACCATCACCACCGCCCAATTTGATCATGGCCCTGAGATCTTCATCATCAGCAGGCAGGCCGGCCCATTTCAGGTAACTCTTTAGGTCCTGCAGCCCAACAATACCGTCCCTATCCCTATCCATTGCTCTGAACACATCTTCCATGACGTCATTCTTCATCGCCAGGCCGTTCCCAGAACCGACCACAACCTTCTCGAATTCCTCGTACTCCACGAACCCGTCCTGGTTCAAATCAGCGACGGACATCATTGTCCCGACCAGGTCGTCCTCCCCCGACGGCCGTACGGCGGAGAAGTCGGCGTAGAACGTGAGGAGGTCGTCGCGGCTGATCTTGCCGTCGCGGTCCATATCCAGCACCTCGAACGCCGACCGCAGAGTCGACGGCTTCGAGGTTTCGCCGCGAAAGGCGGTGACCGTCCCCGTCGGGCACATCGTATTCGTATCGGATTCTGATGAAAAAATAGGGAATATTTTGTCTTTGTTCTCGGAACAGGGCAAATTTAGGATCGGAAATGGTGATAGAAAAAGTAGGAGGTTTAGGGTCGTATTTATAGGCGGACGGCCCATGACCTCCTGATGTTTGGTTCCTCCCAATTAAGGCCGTGAGCTGTGAGCCATGTTTAAAGGTTAGGGGTCCACTTAGCTTTCTCTTTCTTTACTTTTTTGGAAACCCGCATTTAAATTGCAAAAATAAAAAATAGGCAAAAATAAAAAACTCGGTTCTTTAAAATTTTGTCATTTTTCCTTTTTTGGACGTTCCAAATAACTTTATCACTTTTCTTTCTAATCAATTATTTGGTGGTTTATGTTATTTCTCTCTCATCTGCACAAAGCTCAATCACACAGTTTTTCCTTTATTATTCTTCGTGTCGGTCAACATTGGCAAAGTTTTAAGATACGGAGGTAGTATTATTTGAACTTGTGGCTGACATGCTCGTTTACGGTGTTTTTTGTCTGTGCATATAATTAATTTTCATTTTAGTAAAGAGAATTATTTGTCACCTTGAAAATTTGAATTGTCTGTGCACAGACAAATTTGGGATCACAGACAATTCTCTTAAATTGTTTGGGCAAAGACTAAATACATTTGACGTGTAAACAAGTGTGTAAGCCAATGTAAAAGTAGTACTTTTGTACAAAAATTAATGGAGTGTTTGTGTTTGTTTCTACATAAAAAATTGATTTTTAATGTAATTTTAGAAAAAGTGTTTATTAGTAAAAATTGGGAATATTTTAAAATATAAATGGTTTAATTTAAAAAAAATAAAAGTTGAAATGTTTGTTAAAAAGTTATTTTGGTTGTAATATTTTACTCCGTATTAAAGTACAAATATGTCCTTACATAAATCAAAACTACACATTAAAAATTATCAACTTCATTCCCTAATTTGGCCGGTCACCCCAATGAAGATTTATGGACATAGAGAAGAAGGTTTGACAAACTTAGAGATAAGCTAGGTGTCAATAGCATTTATGATCATAGAAGAGGCTTTGAGAAGTCTATGAATTAACACAATGGCAGGGATTGATGAGGATTTATGATGGAAAATTAGAGAAGCTATGAGAAGCTAGAAACACATTTTCACGATTAGAAATTGCTCTAAATAGGAGCAAAAACGTTTTGGAATTCCAAAATAGGAGTATCATGTTTTTTATTCCCTGAATAGGAGTAATCTGCCAAGTTTGGAAAAAAATGTCATATTTTAAAGCCTAGTAATGCCAAACTTGGCAGAAATTTACTCTTATTCAAGAAATAAAAAAAATGATACTCCTATTTTGGAATTTCAAAACTTTTTTACTCCTATTTAGGGAATTCTCTCTTTCACGATGGTATGGTTAAGCATGTTCATAAACTGATCAAAATCTCTAATTTATACTCTGTACAAAAATATTAAATACATGTGTTTGATTTCACAAATAAGCTTGTTAGTTCTTAGGACTTATAATAATAAATGGTTGATGCGTTTTTAAATAACATGACCAAATCACAAATTGCAACTTTTTTTATATTATAATGTGAGTTTTGCAACTTTATGTAAATTTCAATTTAATTTCACAATCTTTATCGTCAATTGATTTATCAAACCGTAAGTTATAACTCAATTTGTGAGGGTTGTAGCATGAGATAGGGGAATACGGAGTAATATGAATTATATACTCTGTCATCCTATTTTTGTTTAAAAAAATTCACTTTTTCTAATTAATTAACTTATGGTTCATATTATCTTTCTTTCATACATTAACTTAATTCATACAGTTTTTACTTTATTTTTTTTCATATATTATAGTGGTGTTAGACACATTAAGAGCCCATTTGGTGGCTCCTTTTTTGCCTTATCTGGCTTATCAATTACTACCTCCGTCCCATTAGAAGGTTCTCGTCCACTATTCTCATGGTCCACTTAAATCATTTTTAATCCTTTACTTTATAAATCAAATTTTTATCAAATTTACATTTTTTTATCAGGCTTTGTAGCAGTTTTAATGTAGTTTCTGAATATGTTAGTTTTATTTACTAAAAATAATCAGAGTGTGAGCAGGGATTAAGTTGCTTTATCATCAGTCAAGCATCGTAAACCGTTCACGGGAACCTTCTAACGGGACGGAGGGAGTAGCTTTTTCATCAAACACATAACTTTGATTTTGTGCCTGAATTATGTAACAATTAGAAAAAGTATGGCTGGAGTTATTTTTATTATTGTATTGGTTGAAGTTACTATAGAAGATCATTTTAACTATTTTTCATATATTTTTTTATTTAATTTATTAATAACAAATATTTTAAATATAATTTTTTTAAAATTAGCAGAATCAGTCATTACAATCAATAAAACCAGAACTTCTTAAATTTCACCAAAATCAGGCGATTAATTTTTGTGTTATCCACTCTAATTCTGCAAAAACATTTGGGAAGACGAAATACGTGGTGCATCTTTCTTCTCTTACAAATTGACCAACCAATGGCGTTTTTTTTTTGATAATCCAGGTGTCGGGACTTACGCTCCCATAATCCTGGAGTCTATGAACTACCCTCCAAAGCCCCTAGACAGTTAAATCCGGATCTGATCACAGTCAGCCTCGTCAGTACTGGCTCCAAAGGACGAATCTAGCAGGACTTACATCACCTTTCAGACTGCTCCTCCCACCACACGAACCCGCTACCTTCATTATCATCTTCTCCCTTCACAGCCGCTGAGCAACTCCATGAAAGTAAGAAGAATCATTGGGAGCAAGACCTCCCTCATCTCCCCTTGGTGGGAATTGAATCCAAGATCCCCACCGATGGCGCGTTTCTTATTTGTACTTTAATAATTGTTGTTTGATTAAATTCGCATATGCTGCGGTCAACGCAAAGATTCCAGCCAGGGAGCGTAAGGGGTGACGTAAAAAACAACTAGTACAACAACTACAACTGGACTTGTGAGGAAAGAATGTTAGGCTTTGGAATTTTAGTGCGCGTTTGACTCGTGGTTCTTGTTCCTGCAAATAGTCTTCTTCTTTTTCAAAAAAAAAAATGGCATAGGTATCCCAAAGTTGTACCTCATTTAAAAACTCTTCCCACTTATCTTCTCCTTTCTTTGTATTCTCTCCAAATCTTGATTTATTCTTCATTTCAAGATCTCCTCCCTTCTGTAAAGCTTCTCATTTTTACTATCTTTCCCCCCTCCAACCTTATACTCCTGCTTCTCTCTTCTTCTGCCTTTTTTTCGTTTCAAATGCAGGAGCTACAGTAATCGGACGAACGGGGAGAGCTCGATGACGTTGGATAGCTTAACATGTGGAGAGCCCGTTGACGTTGCCGACGGCAGACTTACGCCGTTTGCCATTTTAGATGCAACCTCAAGGGAAGACAACGACGAATGTGCAGACCAAGAAGCTTTGAATGACTTGAGCATATCTTCTTTTCTTGATTTTGTTTTCTTGATTTTATTTTCTTGAATTTTTGGTGTGTTTTCGAAATAAAAAGGGTTGTCTATCTGACAGACAACTTATAAGTGCAGTGTCTGTATTTGTTTGTAAGACTCGTGAAGTTGTCTGTCATTTGCAAAATAGATGTCTATAATTGATATTTAATTGTTTGTCATTTTCTTGTTAGTTATCTGTATTTGTTTTGAGTTGTCTGTAATGACTTGTCTGTCATGTTGTTGTGAGGAGTCTATAAGAGTCGTGGAGTTTCTGTCATTTTAAAAATACATGTGTGTAACTCATATTTAGTTGTTTGACATTTGATTGTGAGTTGTACGTAATTTGTGATGTGTATTTTTTTAGATGTGGAAGAGGAGAGAAGCAGGAGAAGAAGGTTGGGGGGGAGAAAAGATGATAAAAATGAGAAGCTTTAAAGAAAGGGAGAGATCTTGAAATGGAGAATAAATCAAGATTTGGAGAAAAGAGAAAAAATGGGGAAGGGGGCTACATGAAAAGAAAAGGGCACAGGAGAGAGGGAGGGAGGGGAGAAGGAAAGTGGGAGGGTTTTTAAATGGGGTACAAATGAGGTACCTATAACTTTTTTGTTTTTTAAACAAAAAAGTGATATTAAATATATATAGTCATACACGCAGGGCCATAGATGAGGGCGTTCAAAAACTGCTATCGTACAAGGTCTCTATCCTAAATATACAACGTGCAAAAAGAGCCGTAGATACACTCGTGATTCAAAAGACCCAAAATTTTAAATATAGTCTACATAATATACAAAATCGTTATTAATTTGATTAAAGATTTCTATCTTAATATATTTTAAAACACAAACATTAAATAGTAATATTTATATGTAATTAAAATGCAATTGTTAATTACAATTGTGCAATTTCTGTATTACATAATGCCTAATTACAGTAATTAGCGCAAAGCTCTCATACATTTTGAGACAAGCTAGCATACTACATTCTTTTTCATAATTTATCATTACTTTACACTTATTAATATATTTTCTTTCCAACTTTTTCATTTTCCTTACACCTCTATACTACTCCTACTATTTTCTTTTTAAAAACCACAAAAAAAACTAAGAAAACTATTACTCCGTATTTAAAAACAGTGAGATTAATAATATTGTGTTTATACTTCAGGGCCTCATATTCAATATTGAACAGAGCCTTTTATATGTCAAAGCCGGCCCTGCATACACGCAAAAAAAAACAGTGAGTTGTACATATTTTATGTACATTTTCAGTTGTCTTATCAAGAGTGTTCATGTGAACACCCAAAAATAAAAAATTAATGGAAATATTATATATATATATATATATATATATATATATATATATATTAGAATAATAATTTATTTATTATTTTTTTAAAGAGAAAATGTGTAATTTTGAGCTCTTAAAATGTAAATATCAGGTCTGCCAGAGAGGTTTCTGAACAAGTTATTTGTACCAAATACTATTGCCATAATCTTTCTCTAAATCCGGAATACATGTTAAAAACAATAAAACGGCGCTGCTAGCATTTAAACAAAAGATTCCATGAACGAATCTAAAACAAAGATATTAAGGCTATGTTTGGCGAGCATAAGTTCTTGCCTTCTAGCTTTTGTACTATTTAAAAAGTCTTTAAAAGCTTCTAGTTGTATATTTGGTATG